GGGGGGGGGTGTGTGCATGCGAGTGCCCATGTGTGTGTGGGGGGGCGGAGCAGAGGAAGAGGGACAAGCCGACTCCCTATTGAGTGCAGAGACTGATAAGGGGCTCAATCCCATGACCCCAAGATCATGACCTGATCAGAAATCGAGAGTCGGATGCCCAACCAAGCCACCCAGGTGCCCCTTAAAACAGAACTATTAAGCAAATACTGGCATGTCAAAATATGAAATACAATGTCTTCATTAAAACTGATCTTGTAGGGCGCCTGGGTGGCTCCGCTGGTTGAAGCACCAACTCTTGGGTTTGGCTGGGGTTGTGATCTCAGGGTCATGGGATCGAGCCCCTCCAGGGGCTCCATGCTGAGCATGGAGCCTGCTTGGGGTTCTCTCTCTTCCTCTCCCTCTGCCCCTCCCCCCCACTCACTCACCAGTGCACTCTTTCTAAATAAGCTAATTAAAAAAAAAAAAACCTGATGTTGCAGAAGAAAACAAACCCTAAAGGCTATCTTGTGTATCTGATTTACTAACAATAAAATTCACCCCTTGAGTCCAGAATCCTTAAAGCTTTGGAAAAAGGGGTAGGTCCCTTAAACATAAGTCTTTTAAGAAACTGTTTCTTCTGGGGCACCCAGGGGAGCTCAGTCGTTGGGCATCTGCCTTCGGCTCAGGTCGTGATCCCAGGGTCCTGGAATTGCTCCACAGGGAGTCTGCTTCTCCCTCTCCCACTCCCCCTGCTTTTCTCTCTCTTGTTGTGTCTCTCTCTGTCAAATAAATAAAATCTTAAAAAAAAACAACAACTGTTTCTTCTAATTTGACTGGTGTTTCTCAAAAGGATCTTTAAGAGGAAACTTACTTTGATGTTATTGTGTGGACTGCACCACGCCAGAAGTCCGGGACTCTGGCGTCTACTCGTCTCTTATTGAGCTTAGACAAGTCATTTCCCTCCTCCGGGTTCTTTTCCCCTCTTCTGCCAAATGAGACAAAAACAGAAAACTCTGGCAAACCCTCCCCGAACTACTACTCTTGACTCTGTAAGATCAGAAAGACAAGAACACATCTCCAGATGCCTGACCTGGTGACTGGTCGTGGTTAGAAAGCTGCCTACCTTCTGGAAAGAATCAGTGGAGAATGAAGGGAGGGAAGAGTGCCCTTTGGGGTGGGGCTGAAAATAAAAACTCCCCCGCTGTAGAGCCAAAGAGGTGACATTTCTCACAGTCTGTCCCCTGCCACCACTTGGCCCCAGCTCCCTTCTCCCGTCTGCAAAGTGACTCACAGCTTCTGAACGTGGTGAAATCACTCGGGGCCCCATATGCTCTTTTTCTGCGTTTCTTCTGCTTCTCCTGAAGCTCTGCAGAGGGTTCCTCCCGGTGAGAGTCCGGTTCCCGAAGCCCGGCCCTTCTTGCCTCAGTAGAGCTGCTTTGTTACAGGAGAGCCTAGGGGACAAACTCCCTCCAGCTGGAGCCTTCATCAGAAGCCCCGGACCCGCCTCCCCGAGAACACACGGCCCCTCTCAGGGGACGCAAAGCAGGGGGCCGAGGACAAAGGCGGGCTGGCCGCGGTGAAGCGCTCTCAGGTCCTGGACAGCGCAGAAGCGGGGGAGCCCCCGCGGCTCCCGCACGCCCAATCTTGCAAGGACCCAGGGAAACGCTAAGGAGCCCCGGGATTCACAGCGCCGCGGGCGAGCCGAGCACACACATTTCGGTCACGGGTGTGGGGCCTCGGCGCCGGGCTCTGATGGATGTACGGCATGCAGATCGCGGCACCCGGTCCCAGTCCTACCTCGGCGACCCCCGGCCGGTGGCAGCCGGCGCTCAGTCCTCCGGGACGCGGTCGGGCCCCTTCCGCACCTAGGAGGATGGGGACCCCGCGGCAAGCGCGGCCTCCCCCCAACACGCGGCCCTTCCTGCGGGTTCATTCGGGGGATCCAGAGGCGCCCCCATTCTGGGTGGACACGGCCCCCGCCAGGGGGAGGCGACCTGAGCGGGCCGGGGTCTACCGCCCCCCTCCCCACGCCCCGCGCTGCAGCCTCGGGCCGCCCGCGCGGACC